AATTTTATAATGAAAATTTAATAAAATTTAAATAAAAAAATTAATTTTTAGATATAGAGATTAAGTTTGTATAATAACATTTATATATTGTCATATTTAAAACTTGCAACGATTAAATGATTTTCAATAAATTTTAAATCAAATTAAATGATTATTATTAATCAAATTAAAAATAAAATTCATCATTTTAAAAAATATATTGTCATATTTTTATAATGAAAAATGTTATGATATCTAATTTGTTAAAAAATATAGTACATTAATTGCATAATTATTCTATCACTACATAACTATTATTTATTATAGTATAAATTATTATCTGAAATTTTATAAAAAATTATATATAATATCATATATTACAATTTGATAAATATTTGAATTATTATTATTAAAAATATTAATAAATAATTTTTCTTTAAAGTTTGTATCTATCTTTCACATCAAATAAATCGCTAATTTTTCAAAATAAAATAAAATTAATTTACGAAAAAAAATATTGATAAGTATTGACAAGTAATTTGAAATTATTTTTTAAAAAAAAAGAACACAAATATATCATAATTTTTCTAAATGATTCTATCTAATCCGCCATTTTTATTCCAAGGAAAATTTATTATTAATTAAATATTATTTAAAATTTGAAATCTGCTGCTATAAAAATATGAAGAGAAACGAAAAAGTATTACGATGAGCTAGGCTCGAAGTGGAAATGGAGAAAAAGCGCATATCTCTTCGCACGAGGAACAATTACACGCGAAAAAGCAAGGAACCTTTCACCGGTCTCTGTTTACCGAAACAAATTCGTTAGGTACGTTAGTTATTCTGGATTCTTCGATTCGCGCGTCTAGCGTCTTATATTGGATTTTCATACTTTTCAATATATTATCCTAATTGTTTCATAACAATAAATGACGAATTGCTTTACCGTTACTATTACAAAACATATGTGCAGTAATATACATGAAAAGCAATCGTTCAAATGCATATGCAAACAAAGCGATTAAGAAATGGAAGGACAGAAAGCACATTCGTTGCATATCGGAATGCGATGATTCAAAAATAAGAATTCCTTTACACAATTTCAGTAATCGAATTCTTAAAAAATATATTAATATAAGTCAAATATGATGAACAAAAAAATTGCTCAAAATAAAAGCTAAAACTATCTTTTTTAAATTATAATCTTTTCTTCAATTTAATAAATATTGTTGTAAATTGAATAATTGAAAAAAAAATATTTTAATTGTACAATGATTTTTTTTTTTTTCATTTTGATTATTATTTTCTTTGCTTTTTGGATATTTTAAAACATATAAAAATAATAATTATACAATTATAATTTATATATATAATAATTATTGTATTAAATTATATAATAATTATAATTTAACATTATTTGAACTAAATATATATTTTTATAAATAGATATAGAAAAACAGAATTTGTTTATGAAGAATATATAAATGCAAAATAAAATTGTGACAATAAAATTACATGGATTTTCAAAATTTAAATTTATATAG